AAATATTGAAGAGCAAAGATGTCTCCTTGAGGACTAAGGTGCACCTGACACAAGTCATGATATTTTCAATCACCTCATACGCATGTGAGAGCTGGACAGTGAATAAGGAAGACTGAAGAAGAATTGATGCTTTTGAGTTGTGGTGCTGATGAAGAATGGTGAAAGTACCGTGGCCTGCTAAAAGAACTAACATATCTGTTCTGGAGGAAGTGCAGCCAGAATGCTCCTTGGATGGGATACTGGTCAGACTTTGTCTCATCTACTTTGGTCATGTTTTCAGAAGGGACCATTCCCTGGAGAAGGATGTCATGCTTGGTAAGGTGGAGGAGGGTCAAAGAAAGAAGAAAAGGCCCTCAATGAGATAGATTGACATGGTGGCTGTGGCAATGGGCTCAAGTACAGCAGGGATCACAGAGCTGGTGCAGGACCAGGCAGTGTTTCGTTCTGCTGTGCATAGGGTTGCTATGAGTAGGAGACAACTCAAGGGCACCTAACAACAACATCCACTCCCTGCCTATCATCCCTTTCCTTCTCTCTGCCTTCTCCTTTGCCTACTTACCTGATTTCAACTTCAAAAGACCCTTCCCCAGGAAGCATTTCCTGACCATCTTGTCCTGTTCAAACCCATCCATTATACACTTTCACAGTGCTGTGCACTTTGCCATCATGGCCATCATCACAGTGCTAATTGGACATTTCTTTGGATAATTCTTATTAAAGTTGAGGGAAGGGACAATAGGTTTTTTTTTTTTTTTTTCCCCACACACCACTGTGTCCCCTAGAATAACATCTGGGACATGGGAGATGCTCAGCAACTATTTGCTGAATAAAAGAATGAAGAGCTGCAATTCCAGTTCCCTGTCTCCAAACCCAAGTGATTTTCTGATACCATGAGTGGATGTTCTCTAGGGCCAGGTAGGATAAAGGTCACTCCAGGTTGAGGAATTAGCCTATGACTCATTTGGGGAATTATAACTAGTTTTGTTTTTTTTGGGAGTGGTGGTGATTTGAGTCTGGGTTGTATTGGTGGGAGGGAAGAGAGGTAGGAGGAGTGGAAAAGGCAGGATGGTTGGAATCACTTGGAGCTATTGAACTTTTCAGCTAGGTGGGCATGTGTGTGTGTGACATAATCATAATTGCATTTAAGCAGTCTTGCCCTGCCTGTCAGTGAGTGCAGAGTGCATAGAACAAGGCAGGACCTAGAGGTAAGGCATTCTGGTGGTGGAGTGGTTTAGGCATTTGGCTGCTAACCCACTAGCTACTCTGTGGAGGAAAGATGAGGTCGTCTCCTTCTGTAAAGACTTACAGCCTTGGAAACCTGATGGGTGTTGCTATGAGTTGGAATCAACTGGATGGCAGTGAGTTTGATTTCTGAGTTACCATCAGTTGGCTCCGACTCAAAACAGAACAAAACTGCCTGGTCCTGAACCATCCTGACAATTATTTGTATGTTGGGGTCCATTTCTGCAGCGACTGTGTTAATCCCTCTCTTGGAGGATTGTCCTCACTTCCATTGGCCCTAAAAATTACCAAGCATGATGTTCTTTCCTAGCAACCCATTTTTCCTGATGGCATGTCCTAAGTAAATGAGCCCAAGTGTAACGAGAGTCACTTCTAAGGAGTGTTCTGGTTGTAATTTTTCAAAGACTGGAGGCTAGAATAGTATCATGTACAGGTTAGATATGACATGGCCCTGGACAGGGACAATGCCAGTGATGGAGAGGAAAAAGTGGAAAGATTTGGTTCAACTCCCAGGAGATGGGGAGAAAAGAGGAGGCAAGTACATCCCTCCAGTTTAGGCAAGTGGTCTTGCCCCTCCAGAGGCAGAAAGCACTGAAGGTGCAAGGGGCTGTGTTCAAGGTTGAGCAGGCCGAGACTGAGATGCTGGGGCACTTGTAGATGTTGGTCAGGGTGCAAGTGGGTGGAGAGAACTAGGGACGGGATGAGAAGAGAAACCCGGTTTAGGGACCTCACGGCACCCAGGGTGTGGTTCAGCTGGTCTCTGCTGGAACCATGCCCCCCCATACTTTTTCTCTCCCCTGTTGTCTTCAGCTGAGCTTAAACCCCACCTGAGATGTGAACATTCACAAAGGAAACCTGTGGGTCTGGGAGGGGCAGGAAAATTGCAGGAACACTCTCCACCTCTCCCAGTATTTCCCACCATTATCCTTTTGCATTTTGCATTTGAGCCACCACGTAAACCTCAGTTTCCTCTTGTTAAACACTGGGATATGAATCTATCCCTCTTGTGGTCAGCATGGAGGAGGTGCCAACTGGCTGAGGTCCCCTTCTTACCCTCTGGGTTTGTCCAAAATTATCCCCTAAGTATTTCCCAGGGATTGGGGGTACTGGTGGGGAAGGGGACAGGCTCCCAAGGAGTCAGGCTCAGCCCATCTCAGGATGGGTGCTGAAAACTAGGACTGTGGGCTGGGAGTGGGGAGATTCTGCCACCGGGACACACCACCCACTAAGCCCCTACTGTATGCGCCACACAGCACCGCAGGCTCTTCCTAGATGGACTCACTGAATGGTACATTAGGCAGAGGAGTAGTCTGGTAACCATTTCTGCATGTTTTAAGTGAGGAATCCAAGGACAGGTGAAGTTCATGAGGGCGCTAAAAGTCATATGGCAAGTAATAACGTCCGGATAGGAATTCAGGTCTCTGAGGAACCCAAGGCCGCCTTCTCAGTCGAGAAGTGCTCATTCTCAGTCGAGAAGGCAGTCTTCCCCCCCAACTCTGCTCTCTTGGCCCTTCTCCAAACGTGGCCAGGATACCAGGTTTGGACAGGGCGCTCCTTTGTCTTCCTGGGTTGGATTCTCCCAGGTACAGAGAGAGGGTGTGACACGGGGGAGCCTTTCGGACCCGCGGGCTTCTCCCAGGCTGTGGCGGACCGGGTGCGCTACAGAGGACGAGAGGACGAAAGGGGCGAGCGCGCGGAGCACAGGGAGCGCGGAGGCACCAGGCGGGCGCGCGAGCCCGGGCACAGCGAGGGACCACGGCGGCAGCGCGTCGCGCTCGCGGGGCTCTGGCGGCTTGGTCCCCGCCCCTTCGGTGGTGGCGCGCTCTCTTTCTCCTGCTCCGGACCAGACACAGCCACCAACGCCGCCCATTCGGTGGCTCCGGGGCCAGCTGGCGGGCACTGGCCGCTCGCTGCCCCGCTCCAGGACTCTAGGGGCGCCTCTAGGACCGCGCCCACAGACCGGGAGGCGAAAAAGGAGGAGGCGAGTGTCCCCACGAGCTCCGGGGCCGCGGCGCAGCGCAGGGTGAGCGCTCCCCGAGGCTCGGTGGTCCCTTCCCCGCGGGTCCCTGAGCGCCCGCGCGGTGTCCGATGGGGCCACCCAGGGGGCTCAGGGCTGAAGTTGGGACCACGCGCAGCCAGCTCCTGCCGCCCAGCCAGACATGCTGCCGCCGGGACGCAACCGCAGCGCGGGGCCGGCACGATTAGGCCGGCAGCCTCGGCTAGCGCAGGGGGGCGCAGTAGGGGGCTCGGCGGGGGTGGCGCGGTTGGGGCCAGCGCAGGTGGTCACCGGCGGCCTCCTGACCCTGCTCATCCTCTGGACTCTTCTGGGCAACCTGCTGGTGTGTGCAGCCATCGTGCGCAGCCGCCACCTACGTGCCAAGATGACCAACGTCTTCATTGTGTCCCTGGCTGTGTCTGACCTCTGCGTGGCGCTACTGGTCATGCCCTGGAAGGCGGTGGCCGAGGTGGCCGGATACTGGCCCTTTGGTGCATTTTGCAACGTCTGGGTGGCTTTTGACATCACGTGTTCCACCGCCTCCATCCTGAACCTGTGCGTCATCAGCGTGGACCGCTACTGGGCCATCTCCAGGCCCTTCCGCTACGAGCGCAAGATGACCCAGCGTGTAGCCTTGGTCATGGTCGGCCTGGCCTGGACCTTGTCCATCCTCATATCCTTCATCCCGGTCCAGCTCAACTGGCACAAGGACAGGGTGGGCTCCTGGGGCGAGGTGGGCACCCCATCCAACCTGGGCAACTGGTCACCCTCGGAGGAGGTGGGGGAGTCAGAGGCAAGGACTGAGAACTGTGACTCCAGCCTGAACCGAACATACGCCATCTCCTCCTCCCTGGTCAGCTTCTACATCCCGGTGGTCATCATGATCTTGACGTACACGCGCATCTACCGCATCGCCCAGGTGCAGATCCGCCGCATTTCCTCCCTGGAGAGGGCCGCGGAGCGCGCGCAGAGCTGCCGGAGCCGCGCGGCCTGCACTTCCGACGCCAGGCTGCGGGCGTCGATCAAGAAGGAGACCAAGGTCCTCAAGACGCTGTCGGTGATCATGGGGGTCTTTGTGTGCTGCTGGCTCCCCTTCTTCCTCCTTAACTGCATGGTCCCTTTCTGCAACGCCCACCCCGAGGGCCCCCAGGCGGGCTTCCCCTGCGTCAGCGAGACCACCTTTGATGTCTTCGTCTGGTTCGGCTGGGCCAACTCGTCGCTCAACCCCATCATCTATGCCTTCAACGCCGACTTCCGGAAGGTGTTTGCTCAACTGCTGGGATGCAGACACCTTTGCTTGCGTACCCGGGTGGAGACGGTGAACATCAGCAACGAGGTCATCTCCTACCACCAGGACACCGTCTTCCACAGGGAGCTCGCTGCCGCCTACATCCACATGATCCCCAACGCGGTGACCCCAGGGACGCAGGAGCGGGACAAAGAGAAGGAGGAGGAAGGGGACAAAGAGAAGGAGGAGGAAGGCCCTTTCAATGGCATGTGCCAGATCTCTCAGACATCCCCAGACAGGGACCATGCCGCCGAATCGGTCTGGGAGCTGGACTGTGAGGGGGAGATTTCATTAGGCAAAATCACACCCTTCACCCCAAATGGATTCCATTAAACTGTGTAGGCAAAACCCTAGTGAATTTGTATAACTGACCAGACAAGCATGAACACACACATACACACACACACACACAACTACACAGTTCCAGCAGCTGCTCAATTTATCACCCCTTTCTGTGTCTCTGTGCAGTAGCCCATGGCCTTAGAAACCTCCAGAGGTTCATTAGTTGGCAGTTCAAAAGATTGGTGGAGGAGTTTTGAGTAAGCTCAAATATACCGCAGGCCAGCAGGGATGCTCAAAGGGTCCTGTTAGAGAAGAGAAAGTCAGGCTCAGTTCTTAAAAAAAGGGGGCAGGGTGGACACTCAGTCCTTAACAATCTCCTCACCACTCCTTTAAACACACAGATTGCCCAGTGACTGATGTGGGTGGGGACTTGGACTGTGTTTAAACCACTGGGTCAGTGTATGTGTGAAGGTGGTGATGGGTTGAGGTGGCTCCTGTGTCCTGCTTCCTGTGGCCCTGTGTTTATGCCATTTCTGTACTGGTAGGTGTCTTTACTATCACCCGGGGACTCCTTCTGGGTGTGTCTTGGTGTCTAATAAATACGAACTGTGTGGATCACGGGTGCCTGTCTTTGCTCTGCCAGACTGGCTTTCAGGATGGTTCCTGGAGAAAGAGGGAGAGCATCTGCCAAAAGCAGGCAGATTTTCTCCGGCTCCGGAAGCCCAGCTTTATGTTCTAGAAGGATGGTTTGGCCTTAAATGTACCAAAGGGCTGGGGGGTGGTGGTTTAGCACAAACCCATTACCAAGTCCAGTTACACCCTATAGGACAGAGTGGAACTGCCCCATAGGGTTTCCAAGGCTGTGTTCTTCGTGGGATAAAACAGTCAGGTGAGTTTGAACAGCAGACGTTTTGGTTAGCAGCCGAGCACTTAACCACTGCCCTATCAGGGCTCTTTTCCTTCAGGGTCCACACAGGGGCACAGGGCTTTGAAGAGTTTCTGGTGTCTCTGACTCATTTCCAGGAGAGCCACGTATCTCAACTCTGCCGAAAGCTGCCCCAGTGCCGTGGCTTCTCAAGTTTAGGAGAAAAAAGAAAATAAAATTATATATTTTTTTCTCATTTGAAAACTTCTTTTAAAAATAACATCACATAGGACATTTCTTCCAGTTCCTAGATAGGTGCTGTCCGTTCACTGGGAAGATCCCCTCCAGCAAAGCTAGACCCTCCCGGTGTCACACCTATAGTGTGCTTTAGACTTCAATGGTTCTTGGTAAATCACGTTTTTTGAAGGGCTGTGAAATGTGGGAACCCCATTTCTGGAGAGGCAGCCTTTGCAGACAATAGGGAGCAGGGTCTTTTAATGAAAATGCAGGAGCCAGAGCTGAAATTGGAATGAACTGGAAATTGGAAGATCTGTTGATTGAGGTACTTAATGAAAAAGCCCGAATAACTCCAGTCTCTTTCTCCCCCAGTCTTTGGGTTTCCCTGTCAGCAGTCTCCACAGCGAAGGGGAGCAGTTTATTCTAAAACGGTTCCATTTGAGAGCAAATTATTACCGTTCGATCTAAATGTGAAAATGTTAATGGAAGCAAGTGAAATGTGAATATGTAATTCCTTACAAGCCCTGCTTTGAAGTTGTCTGATCAAGGACAGTTCAATCAGTTTGGGTCTTTTCAAGGATCATATGATTGTCAGTCTACTGATGATTATATCTTGCTCACTGCAAAATGTGCAGGGTCTTAGGAAATATTTGTTGCATGAACTTTTCTGGAACGGGGAGATAGGAAGCAAATCCTATTTGGTACATTAATTTTCCTACAGGAGCTGGTAGGATTGATGCTGGAATCTGAGGTCCGTGTTCAGCTTTGACCTCAGGTGAACTGATAGCTAACCAGGTTGGTAGGACAACAGAGGCAAAGAAGAACACCTTGGCCTAGGATTCGGGAGATGGCTGTGTGACCTTGACTGTGACAATTAACCTCTCTGGGCCTCACATTCTGTCTGCATCTGTAAAGTGGAAGACTTACACTAGGTTACTGTTTTCCAAATCATGCTTCGTGATGCAATAAGGACCTAACCAAAACCTAAACCCACTGCCACCAAGTTGATTCTGACTCATAGGGATCCCAATTGGTTTCCAAGGCTGTAAATCTTTATGGAAGCAGGTTGCCTCTTCTTCCTCCTGTGGAGTAGCTGTTGGGTTTGAACTGCTGACCTTTTGGTTAGCAGCCTGATGCCTTACCCATAGTGCCACCAGAGCTCCTCATAGGAACCTCCATCAAGATATTCACTGATGGAGTCGATGGTCAACTAGAGGAGCCCTGGTTAAGTGCCCAGCTGCTAAGTGGAAGGTTGCCGTTTCAACCCCCCGAGTGGCTGTGTAGGAGAAAGACCTGCCCATGTGCTCTCATAAAGATTACAGCTTAGGAAACCCTATGGGGCAGTTCTTCTCTGTCACGTGGGGTTACGATGAGTTGCAAATGCCTTGATGCCACCTAACAACAAAAACGTGGTCGAATAGCAGTCCTTTGGTGGCAAATGTTCCCATGCTTGCCACTAATTGGAAGACTAGAGACTTGAGGCCGCCCAGCGGTGCCTAAGGAGACAGGCCTGATGATGCGCTTTCCAAAGGCCCCAGCCAGGAAAACCAAGTGGAGCACAGTTGTACTTGGCACGCACGGGGTCTCCATGGGTTGGAATTTTCTCCATGGCATCTTCACCACCACAATATGGTCAAATAACGTGGGAGGCCCAGTTTTGATTCCCGACCAGTGTGCCTCATGGGGGTTACTGCCTGTCTGTCCGTGGAGGCTTGCGTATCTCTGTGATGCTGACCAGGTGTCGGTGGAACTTGCAGACTAAGATGGACTAGGAAGAAAGGCGGATGACATGCTCCCAAGAACCCAGCCAGTGGGAACCCTGTGGAACAGTCCTGGTGCCCAGATGTGTGTCAGAGAACTGTGCTCCAGGGGTCCCAGTGGCTGAGTGTTCGGAAGCAGGTCTCCGGGTCTTTCTTCCAAGGTCCCTCTGGGTAGACTAGAAACTCCCACCTCTCAGTTAGCGGCTGAGCCCATTAACCATTTACACCCCCCTGGGCAAGTGCAAAGGCCTGGCAGTGGGACTGTGCTAGGCACACTCAGGGAATAGGGAGGCATTGGTGACAGAGGCAGAGTGCAATCAGGTTACTGTAAGTTATAGCAATGACAGGCACAAACATATATTAATTCACTAAGCCCTCACAGCCCTGGGAGGTAGGCACTTTCATTACACTCATATTACAGGTGGAGAAATGAAGACACCAAGGGGCTAAAGGTCAAGGTGATACAGCTAGACATGAACTAGACTTGCACTCAGGTGGCCAGCGACAGAGTGTGATGGTGACCCTGTGATGGTGACAGAGGCTCCAGGATATTCCCTACTCAGCAGATACTGTGAAGCAGGGGTCGCAGCATTTGGTTCCTTGTTAATTGGCTAATTACCTGTGAATTAACTGGGTGATGGATCCATTCCTACATCTGCATGTAAACAGATCATTGTGTCTCTGCTCTGCACACTGCATTGTGCATTGTGCTTGGAGGAAAGACAGCATAAGCTAATGGAGAACAGCTCATGCTAAACCTTACATGTGCCCAGATGGTGCCAAGTGCTTTTGTGGATTCTGACTTCATCCTTACGTTAACCATATGAGGGGGTGCTACTATTTTCTTTGCATTTTGCAGACGAGGACACTACACTGAAGGTCAGAGAAGCTGTCCAAGATCACGTGGCTGGTAAGTGGTAGAAGCAGGGTTCACACCTAGGCTAGTGGTTCTTAAGCAGGGGTGACTTTGCACCCCCAAGAGGACATTTGGCAGTATCTGGGGACATTTTAGGAGTTACTGGGTGGTGTAAATGGTAAAGCACTCAGTTACTAACTGAAACGGCGGTTCAAACCCACAGAGAGATGTGTAGGAAGATGGGCCTTGCAATGTGCTTCCAAAAGACTACGCCCACTGAAGACCTTCTGGAGCACAGTTCCAGTCTGACACACATGAGGTCTCCAGGAGTTGGGACCAACTTGATGGCAACACATTTGGTTGGGGACATTTTTGGTTGTCACACTGGGGATGTTGCTCCTGACAGCTGGTGAGTAGAAGCCAGGGATGCCCAACCACCCTACAGTGCACAGTGACCCCACAACAAAGGGTCATCTGGCCCCAAATGGCCGTAGCACTAAGAATGAGGAGCCCTGGCCTCGGCTGATGGACTCCAGGCCCCACCTCACTGCAAAGCAGTGCTGCACAGACTTTGAAACTCCACAGCCTTGGCTTCAACTCTTAGACCCCTCAAGGAGATGCCTGGATTCAACCACTTCTCCAAGCTTCAGTTTCTTTATCTGAGAAATGGGCATTAACCCCATAGGGAGGGGGTGAGGATTAAATACACGTGTGTAATGTGAAGGCTATTATAATTATGATTTTAAATAGACTGTTTTACAGCAGTTTTAGGTTTATGGAAAATTGTGCAGAAAGTATAGACTTTCCATGTACTTTCTCTCCTCCTTGTGCTCTTTCTTCTCTCACCAACATGTTGCATTCCTGTGGTACATGTAGATGATTGTTAACTAAGGCCCATAGGTTACATTAGGGTTCACTCTGTGTTGTACAGTCTTGTGGATTTTGATAAATGCTTACTGTCATGTTTGCACTATGACAGTATCATACAAGATAATTTCACTCCCCTACAATGCCGTGTTCCACTTATTCATCCCACAGAGTTTATATTTGTGTGGTTCTTTTTCTTTTTCCTCTTTTAAAGAACTCTAAAAGAGTTAATACATTTTAAGATGACTTTGAGCTTCTTTGGGAGCTCTGTTAGCATAGTGCCTAAGGCACTTGACTGCTAAACAGGAGGCTGGCGGTTCAAGCCACTCCTCAGAAGGAAGATGGGACAATCTACTTCCGTAGTGATACTGCCTTTGAAACCCAAGGAGGGGTCGCTATGAGTCGGGTCTGACTCAATGGCACATAACAAAAACAACATAGAGCTTCTTAGCTTGTGTAGAAATAC